TTGAAAGTCACTATACTTTAAAGTCTTCATAGACTAAAGGGTTATTAGTCTATGAAGACTTTAAAAAGTTAATGTAATTTGGTAGATTGACTTTCAGTAGGCTTTTAAAAAAAATGACCCAATATGACCTTTTTGAAATTTTGCACACAAATTAAGTGATAAGTAATGAGTTAATTTAAGTTTATTTCAAGTTGCGATTTTATACGTTTTACGAGTAATGCCTCTTTTATCTAGGCAACCTCCATATAAAAAAATCGAACTTTTTGAAATATGACGAAAAGAAGGTAACAAAAAGAAAAAAAACTTGTAGGCCTATTCTGTAACTTTTAACAACATTCGATATTGTTTTATTTTCTTTTGTTATTGTAAAAACAACAAAACAAACAAATGAAATTGTTGTAAAATAAACAATGTCGAATGTTGTTAAAAAGTTACAGAATAGGCCTACTGGTGCTGTTTTCAAACATGTAGTGAGCAAAATTGCTGTCGACAATATTTCGGATGAAAGAGAGAAATTTTTAAAGCAAATAGTACATTAATTTTGCTTAACATTAGCGCAAAATTTGGAAAAATGTCACAGAAAGATGAATGTTTTCAAAGACAACCAGTAAGGAAAGATGAAAAGTCAGACTGGACCGACTATATGATACCCTTTACCACTTTGGGTACAAACAAAAATGATAATGTGTACAATATCCTGTTGATAGAAGAGACATACCATCTTTGGATGACCATTAACATGGAATCGGGTAAAAAACAAATGTGATCTACTTAGATATTTGAGCCAATAAAAACCATACACATGACATTCTGAAATCTACAAGAAAATTGCATGCCAATCGCATAAATATTGAAAGTTTGGTGCACCAAGATGAAAAGTCAGACTGGACCGACTATATGATACCCTTTACCACTTTGGGTACAAAGAAAAATGATAATGTGTACAATATCCTGTTGATAGAAGAGACATACCATCTTTGGATGACCATTAACATGGAATCGGGTAAAAAACAAATGTGATCTACTTAGATATTTGAGCCAATAAAAACCATACACATGACATTCTGAAATCTACAAGAAAATTGCATGCCAATCGCATAAATATTGAAAGTTTGGTGCACCATTTACCAAAAATCTCAATATGGACCGATTTCCAGGAAAACTTCATAGATGCCAAACAGGACTGAATTCAGTACGCTGTGCAAAATTTCGTTTAAATCGGACCATTATTGGGAGTTTGGTGCACCATTTACATAAAATCGGACGAAACTATATATGTGTGCTATATAAATTTGGACCGATTTCAACAAAACTTCACAGATTTCAAACTCGATTAAATTCCGTACGCTGTGCTACATTTTGTCCCAATTGGGCAAACATTTTCAGTTTGGTGCACTATTTACCTAAAACCTGACGAAACTATATATGGGAGCTATATCTAAATCAGAACCGATTCCAACAAAACTTCGCATACATCAATCTGGACATAATTCAATACTCTGTGTAAAATTTTGTCTCAATCGGACCAATATTGGCAGTATGGTGCTCTGGTTACATTAAATTGGACGAAACTATATATGGGAGCTATATCTAAATCTGAACTGATTTCAACAAAACTTGACACATACCAATCTAGACCTAATTCAATACTCTGTGCAAAATTTTGTCTAAATCGGACCAATATTGGCAGTATGGTGCACCATTTACATAAAATCGGACGAAAATATATATATGGGAGCTATATCCAAATCTGAACCGATTTCTTCCAAATTCAAAAATAACGATTCAAGTAACAAAAAAAAAAAAAAAAATCAGTTGGGCCAAATTTCATGACGAATACTATGATTTTGTTGCCGCTATTAATTTTGCACAGAAAAAGTTGTCATTTGACCGATAGTGCATTGGTAAGAAGAAATGTAGCAATGGCACACACACACACAATACTCTCTATGGGACAGGAGCGGAAAAACTCATAAATCGATTATTTGGGCTAATAACCAGAAAGATAAAATTCATACAAACCAAATTCACTTGAATTCGTTCTTAAAATAAATTTTAAGACTTTTATTACGAAAAAAATGTTGACCATGCACATAACTTGACAATGAAATGTCAATGACGAACTAAAACCTTGACATGAGTCATTCAGATACACGCTTATAACATATTTTACATTTTTCATTAAACCACAGACAACAGAAACAACAACAGCAAAACACATTAATTCGTCAATAAATGATGTGGAATAATTCACATAGAATTGGATTACACTTTTAATGAGCTACGATGTCGACGGGGACATAAATCAATTATTAATCACTCGTTACCTATGTGAACTGATTAAATGTCATAATTAATTGCCCAATAAGCCAGATTCGCATCAGTTTGTGTATTGTGCACTTGGTTGGCGAGAGTAGGGGAGGCTATAAATATTAATTCGCTATTGACCCATGCTGCAAGACCATCGAAAACAGAAGTGACAGTGCAAATAAACACACACATACGGAAACACGCGCTTGTCGATTGCCCCACATACCTGGTGAAACATGTCGAATTCTTCCATTATAATTAGTAGCTCACGGAAGACCTGCTAGGACACAATCGAAAGGTATAATAAATGTTGAGAATGGAAAGTCATTGCCAATGTCATTTGTAATTGCCAAACGACATTAACGACGCATAAATCGCATAAGGAGGAGACTACACGAACATTGGTCCAGACCAGAATAGCCACATGAGTCAGAAATCCGTTGTTACTGTTTATTTTAAGCAATTGCCAACATCGCCGAAATACGGTGGTGCAATTTACACATTTCTAGGTACATAAAGACACATTTATGTCTATTGGGAGCCACACAAGTAGAACATGTTTTACTGCCGAGCAGTTGCAGACAATCCACATGGAATGTGCGAAAATGCATTAGTTTTGGACATTTCAACTAAAGTGCCTATTTTTGGACATTTGAAGCAATTTGACTTGCGTCCAAAAAGCAAATCTAAATCTGAACTTATTTTTCGTTTCTCAGTGACTGAGCATGGTCCATATGACCACGATACTACATATATCATTTGTTGGATGACTGTGTAGCACAATCGTTTGATCTATTTTCACATTGGCGATGTCGTTCATTAGCAGCTGGTGTCTGCCAAATGGCCAGAGTTTACCTTGGCTACGTTGTGGTGTAATATAAGAGCAGCATCATCATGTACGTATGTGGATTTCTGTCTTGTGGCAAGTTGTTGTATTTTTTGTTGTTGTGTTCATAGTTGACTGTGGGATCTTCTTGGCTCTGGCGACCTTCATCTGCCTTGCAGTAAAATATATAACAAAGGAATAGTTGTCTACAAATCGGAGAAATAACTAGTAGACCGAAGAAAAGTGGCAATGTTAAAGGTGCTTCTTAACAACAATCGAATAAACGCTACCAGTTTTAACGCCCAATAAATAATACCAGCTAGCTGGCCTTACAAAACACACACACTCACACATTGCACAGGTTATTTAAATGGCTTTGCCAGATGTTAGTAGGAAACATCTGGTGTCGATACTGCACATTTCGAAAATAAAAATACATTAAATTTTCCAAGGCATATGAAGAGGATTACTGCAGCCACATTTATGGTACATATATATGTCGATCTGCAACAAACACCTGTCGCTGTGCACTTGCTTACTTTCGCTCTAATGAATTCTGATGGTTAAACTGATTCAGCTGTTTGGGTGCCGGCGATGCTACAGGACTTATTGTCGAACTACACTAGGAGGCAGTAAACATGCAATATGTATGGGAAACGTGACGAAATACAAAAATCTACAAATGTACATAGTTTATGAAGAGATTGCACGAATTTATCCTAAAATAATAAAATGTATAAAAATAGTAAATTTCTCACGGATTAGGCGATTTTCAAATACTTACAAAACATGTTGTATTTTTTTAAGTCTTGTGTGGACTTGTGACGCTCATTCTTATGGAACTATTGTCTTTTTGTAGCGATGTAAATATTGAACGGTAAGGCGAGCCACTGTGAACGTCATTTGTTTTTATACTATTCCTTCCGTTAAATTTGCATTGACACATCCTATAAAATCTGCACAGATTTTGAGGTGGCTGCATGGCAAATTAAATTTCATTGAATATGTCATCTCTACTTGTTCGATCTAAATTGAATTGTATGTCAGCAAAATAGACTTATACTGGCCAACATACCTCTCTATCCACGATCATTTTGTTTCGATTGATATTTTTACATAAAAATTATGTTGATCTACTTAAACAATTGTTTCGATATTATAGATGTCAGTTTATATTGATCGTTCGGCACATAATGCAATAATATACCGGGTTTCTCTCTCGAACCTTCCTTTAAGTGAATTTCGTATTTGTTGATCTCTATTTATTTTAGCAATGTCTTACCCATTCGCATCTTTATTTTTAACACAAAGGTTGAATTCTCCAAAGATGGGTATGCAGTACTAAATGTTGCCAATTTAGAAAGATTATGCAGATTTTTTTTTATTATTTTCTTCTTCAATTGGTTTACAAACTTGGTGTGAAATTTATATCAACGGCATTTATGTTACAAATTCCAAGGGGTCCCTTCAAATTTGATTTTTTGAAAAAAGCCAAAAATTGCCAGTAATAATTTTCTGTTCTCTGTTCACTTCATACAGTATACTGTACAGTATACAAAAGCGTTCTGAATAAAAAATATTTAAAATTGTTTTAAAAGCCACAAACTTCAGAACCACACAAAATGTTTTAGATATATATGACTAAAAATAAAAACATACAACCTTATCACATCGTAATTGACTTTCTTTTTTACCTCTGTATCCCATTTTCAGACAATTTTCAATCGGAGAGATCATGATAATTCCTAAATATTGCTAACAATATATTAATAAACAAAGCTGTTATTGTTTTCGTCACTGCAAATTGATTGGTTGGTAAATATCAGTTTGACACAAGTATTCCTTAACGACTCTGAAGTTAATAATGGACGCTGAATCAGAAGGGGTACAGCCCGTGAATCCCGCTACCAATGCATCAAATTCTGAAGTCGACTTAGCAGCGCGTCGCCGCCATTTTGTGTCTCAGCCGTCTACCTTAGCATCTCGGCGTCAGCAGGCAGTGTGTGTACGTCGCGCTCACAAGATGTATGGCAGTGCAAAGAATCCGAACGTTGTCCTAGATGGATTGAATATGACAGTTTCAAAAGGTTCAATGTAAGTATTTTCCCTTCCTAACGTTCCATTCGAAGCGTCCAGATAGTTACTACAACATACATACGTGTGCTAATCAGGTGCTATAGGAAATGACTTTAACTTATTGACGCACAGTGGGCCAATTTCAAATCCAGCGGGGAAAACGTCAAAAAATTCACCACCACATTATAGAATAGAGACTTAGACTCAAAAATAGCCAACAATTTTATTGTTGTTGACCCTTACAAGGGTACATTGACTTAAAGGTTTTGTTTGTGACTGATAAGAAAATAAGTATTGGCAACCCTGTCGTGAATGTTCACTAATTTTGTGGTGCTCTGTGCTCGTTTAAAAAATATTTAATTTCTAACAAATTAATCTGTGTTTGTGTTTAAAAGTGTTGTGAAATAATTTTTGTGCATTTTGATCTAATTGGATTGTGAAATTTGACATATTTTTGCTAATATTAATTAATCATTTTAATTCTAATTGGCATTTGTTTCCATTCCCAATTTGTCCCTTTGTTACATAGCATATCGTTAGCTAAAATGCAAAAAGGCGTAACTAACAAAAAATTGAAAATTGACTTTTTGAATGAATATTGTGAATGTCAATAAACTACATGTGTTGACAAAGTTTTACACATCTGCGGTCAAAAAAGGAGCTTCATTTAACAAAAAACAAAAAGACGTAACTACAAGTGGGTTTATTTGATAAATGCAAAAAGGCGTAACTAACAAAAAATTCAAATTTTTACTTAATTGTTATGACTGCCCTTAAATTAAATAACTAAATTTGTTAAAAAAATTATAGTCTATTATTCGTCATATGCAATATCACCCTGCCGGGCATACTTTTTCATTTCACATGACATGTTTATAGTTTTCATTCAAAACAGTTTTTTACTTCTCCTACACAATTATGGTTTTGTTAGTTACGCCTTTTGCATTTTAGCTGACGATATATAGTTGTTTTTTTTTATTTTGTTTTGTTATTTTGACATCTGCGTCCATAACTTTGTAAAAGACTTGCAGTCGGAGCTTGGTTCGACGAAAAAGGAATTTACATCGTTATCAAAACGTTTCGAGAATTTTTCCAATTTGTTCGAAAAGTACCAAGAGCTTGATGAATTTGTATCATCAACGTCTGTGTCTGGGCAGAAAAGCCAATAAAGTCGTGCCTAGTCGCAAACCCACAGTTTCTGTTGGAAATACAACGTCAATATCACAGATACAACGGAAACTGAATGTGTCCAGACTTATGCTAGTGTTGCGTCACATTCGGCCTCGGAAATCGTTAAGGATGTAAATAAAGTGATTAATCTAAAATCTATGAGTATTAGTAGTGCTAGTCTGGAAAAGGCTTCAAAATCTACTCATGGAAATCGGGAATCATCAGTTCAAACATCTAATGCGTCTTCCGTAGCTGTCACTAGCAATTCCCTCCAACCTAGTCAAAGACCAATATGTATGGCTCCCACCATGAAAATTGTATTTGTATCTAGGTTTCCACCAGATATCTCGGCTGAGGATATAAATTATTATATAAAATCAAAAATCGATGGAAAATTCTTTCTACGTTGTTATAAGCTCCGGTCCGCTTTCTCAGAAAGTAGATCATCTTCTAAAATCGTAGTACAAGAAAGTATGTTTCATCGACTAATTTCGAGAGAATTTTGGCCTGGAAAGATCTGAAAATTTAGCTCATTTGCCTCAGAGAGCTGAAATATTGCCAAAAAGCTAAATATGTTTCTCTTATATTCTAAACGTACACCTACATTCATAAATTTCTTTAATGAGGGCTTATACCCAAAGATTAATTATAACGAAAAAAAAAACATTTAAAATGGTAAATATCATTTCCTTAAATCTGATGTAGAGTTATATGTGGGCTATATCAAGAGGTGGACCTATATAAATTATTTTCTATATATGTTATTCCCGTGCACATGAGCAACATATGTGCAATTAATGAACTTCAATACCACGTTCATTGAATATTGACAAAAATATATTTTCCAATACTAGAACATTTTTTTGAGAACATACATTTGAAATGATGTTGTTCATCGTTTGAGGGAATTTATCGTGTACCAATTGAAACCGATTACAATCCACACCGACATTGTGCAAAATACTAGTACTATTAATTGATCATGATCCCATCATGATACCATATTGTAGACCAAAACGGTTACCTCTTGACACTAGTCCATTATATAAAAGTACAGGTGGACAGACAATAATATTCATTTGGCTGGCATTTTGATTACCTCATAACACGATTGCCTTCAGTTCGAAATGTGAATTAGAGAACTGTTATGGCCAGAGCTAGTATTTCAAATTGGCTAGAGATCAACAACAATACCCAACTTATTAACATTGTATTGACGGTCCAAAGTCTATCGTTGCATTTTCAGAAGGGTTTCCGCATTGATTCATAGGTCGACGCGAACATATACCAATATTTTTTCTCCTTAAATTACAGTAATCCGTTAATTGCCAACTTAGTATTTAGAATACACGAACCGCAAATGCAGACCTCATCAAGATATGAGTCACAGATTCCCACAGGTGCGATATAAAAAAAGTAAAGGTGTCCTTCCTTAAATATAATACGCCAGTTCTACAACCAGAAAATTATTAGATTCTTGCAATACGAGAACAGACCAAATGTATTTAGGTTTCCAAATACAAATATGATTAAGTTATAAAAACAATTTTATTGGAATCTAGATTACACTATGCAGCATAATAGAGCTCATTAGTGTGCTAATTATAAAAGTTCGCCTTTTCCATTACGACAAAAATGCGTTGAAAATACCCTGACATGCTTGTTTCTATTACTTTTGCCGGCACAGTATTTATTTATATTCGGTTTGGACTAATAAACTCATATTTTGTACGAACATTTATTCACACACACATATATATCTAAATTTATTGTGGATGGTGCTATAAAAAACCTGCTGAACAACTTTAAAACATTTTCATGGTCAGCTGAAATTAGCGTCAACGTCGGTGCACAACGTCTGCGCCAGCATCAACGTCTATACAATAAACCGTTCAAATCAACAAGGCTAGTCGTACAGACTCGAATCGGAATTATTTGATAAATAAAAAACAAGACGCTAACGACGTGACGTGATGAACTGGTATCTCATATGACACATGCAAAGTGAGTAAGTGTGCATTTCAGTTCACCCGATATGCCGAGGGGTTTGAAACAATAGATGACTTTGTTTGCTTAATTATAACCCTGGTGCCCTGACAATCGTTTCTTACGAAGACAACAGCTTAATTTCAACTAGAGGTTACATTCTTCCCGTCTCCGCATACCTAGTTCGTGTGGTATTTACAAATATTTGTATACCCTCAGCCTTATGGCTAATGAGGGTATATACACTTTGATACGGCAAAAATGTGCATCATCGAGATATTAGTTTTCTTTGGACCCAAATGGGGGATTGGAAGAAATTGAACAAAGGTTTACATACGAATAGAGCCACCATATCCAAGTTTGGCAGAACAGTGGCAAACAATTGTTTACATTTTCATCAATACAAACTCAATCCAGGTTTTCGTTAATTGTTGTAATTGTTGAATGACAATTACACATTCACTTTTACGACCTTCATAATTGTATGGGCGGTTCGGTTATTTAGGTTGTCGATCAACTGGCTGTGGTTCTCTTATCCGCACAAGATAATTGTTGTAACAATCCCAAATCCGCCACTTTAGAAATAAACAGACAGAGGCTACTGTAACTACATGTCGGAGCAAATGAGGCATTTTCATAGGTATTTGTGTATCTGTGGGAGCTTAGCCAAATATGCACATGTATTTATTATTGAAGGAGTGGTGCCCCCCTCACTACCGTCCCACATCCAATTTGGTGTATCTGTAACTACGAACAGAGGAAAGTACATATTTGCATAGAAAACAGGCTAGCTGGGGACTTTTGTGACACCATAACAATTAATCAAAATGTCACAATATTTTTGCACATGTTCTTGCCGGGCACACGCCAACTTCACAACGTGGTGGTTATTGCTGCGTGCCAGCAATTGGGAATTCTGTCAATCATTTTTGAACAAAAAGATTTCAGTCCGATTGATAATGGTTGCTAGCGAACCAAGTGTAGGTCAAAACGTGTGTGTGCACTCGCTTTCATGGTGGACCTGAAAAAAATGTTCTGAGTTTTTTGGTGATTAAATGATGACAAAGTGGTTGTCAATTATTTCCATTGTCAATAAACATTTGGTAGAGTACAGTGTACCATTTTACTCTGCGACGTTGTTTGGTTTTGTGGTGATTTTTCAAACACGCATGAATGTGTTTAATATATCGGCTGATGACCTTTGCTGCTTCTTTTTTGTCTTTAAAATATGTAAAAACTTAAACATAATAATAAATATGATAATAATTAATGCTGTGGCTATTATGCTCAACTGAGTTAGCTGCAGAATATAATTTCAGGTTGTCAATTCGAAGAATATCCCTAAACAAAATTATGTAGGTTTACGTATTGGTTAATCCAACCCTGACCTATTTTATATTATTTTACAAACCATGTTACTTTATAAGTGCTCAAAAAAGAACAAGTGAAGTGACTCAAAGCCAATTTGTTGCAAAAGTACAAAGATTTTATGTAACATATTTATCTTAGTTATGGAATTTGCAAAAATCAAACTATATTTATTGTCTTCCACAATAAAAAGTTGTTAAATTCGATTTAAAAAGGAAAATAACTGTTAGTTAACCCAATTTGAGAGAGCGTTAGTGAGAGCATTTTGGTGTCTATAAAAAAGTGGTTATCTATGCCGAAACCATACTAGTATGGGCTACGTGGATTTAACTAGGGGTATCGCTCACACATTGAATCTGCGGACAGAAACATATACAATAGATAGGCAACAAAGAACGATATCTGTTGTGTATCCAGTAGGATTCACGAATCCTGATCGGAAGAAGGCAAGGGTGAAGGTGTACGAGATACCAAGGAACATATTATATATCCTC